GGATCCCTAACTTGGGCAAGTTGGTTTATTTGACTAGCAGTTTCTTCTTGTTGGCGAGTGGTCTCTTCTTGTCGTCGTTGTTGTTGTATCATTGCCATCGTCATAAGTTGCAATTGATTGGTTAATGCTGCAATCTTATCTTTAAAATCTTGCACAGTATCATTCAGCATTCCATGTTGAGGAAGAGGTAGAGCTTTGTCTCCCATGTTTCCTGAAACACAACTCAACACACACAAGAAAAAGAATATTGAAGAACTCACTTCCTGGTTACCCATCCCAACTATTCCATTCACACCCCAAGATCTCTCAAGAAGGTTTAGAATTTAGTAAGGGATGGATTCACTCTATTCTTACCACTGTCTTTGTCTTTTAACCATTTGTGCAATGAAGACTAGTGGTACAAGAAGTACTTTATTGAAGCAAATAAAGAGGATCAAAAAGTAAGGTTCTGAAAATAATTGTAACAAGATCTAAGGAAGAACACGAATATAGATCGAGTAGTTACAATTATGAAAGCTTAGATCTCATAAAAGGCTAATAGAACTTGGAGCAAATTCTGAAAAATAAAAGTTTCGACTTAGGGTTATGGATAAAACCCTAGTTTCGGCCAATACACCAATAAAGGGGTTATATTTGCGAAACCCTAGCCACCAAAGATCCAAGTATTTCGAAAAAGATATGTGCAAATAATAGAAATTGCACTTCAAATCAAACTCAAATACCAATATCCTTGTATGCCGTCTTTCTTTTTATTTTTACTTTTTTTTTCACGGCTATATATATATATATTTGACTAAAAAAAAAGTGGATTAGGGATTAAGATACCCTAGATCCGATAATTTAGGAGAAAAAATGTTTTTTCTCTTTTACTAACAATAGTGGATCTAACTATAACAACTTCAATCAAATCAAACAAGAATACAATCGAAGCAAAATAGTGAGATCTATAATAAAAGACTCAAAAATTCAAAAGAACAATTAGAGATCTAACCAAAGATGAGCTTTAGTAGATCAAAATAAAAACAAGTCTTCAAGAACCTAAGCTCTGAGGCCAATTGATACAAAGTATCAATTTGCATTTGACTCTACTTGCAAGTTTTCAAAAACCAAGGCTCTGATACCAATTGATACGAATCTTGAGGCAAAGGTGGCAGATTTACCTCGATGCGGAAGCTATGAATTTCCCAAGACTTGAAAACTTGCAAATCCAATATTATGGATTCCACAACTCACGAAAATTAAAAGAAAAGAAGAGATGCAAACCACAAAAATTTGCACCAAAAAGGGATGGAAAAGTTTAGAAGATGTAGAAAGTGTTTAAGGTTAGCAACCCAATTGGTCACCTCTCAAACAACCCTATCCCTTCGATTTATGGATAGAACGGCTAGCGAAAAGGCTCTAATGAACAACTAACAAAGCTCCACAAGTAGAAAAACACCTACTCTACTCGCATGCATCAACAAAGCACAAGCTTGTGTGCAATGCACTAGTCTTCGAAAAGAATAGAAAAAGGACAAAGAGTTTCCTTTCGTTTCATATTGAAATAATTCATCAAAGGTACAAATGAAATGCTGGCCAAACACCCCTATTTATAGTAGAGGGGGCCGAAATTCTCCTATGAAGTAGGAGAAGAGTTTGATCTCTAACTCTATTCCTACTTTAAAGAACTAGAAATCAACTTAACCTCTAATTGACAACTTGTGTCTTATCTATTAAGGCAATGGATCTAGACACTTTTATAGACTTAAGACACACTAGTCTATTGAAAATAAAACTCCAAATATAAAGAGATATTCTCTCAAAAGAATCTTATCCTTATCTTGAAAAGAATCTTCTTGAGTTGTCAACTCTATCAATATCTTCTTTGTAGAGTAGGCATAGCCATCCAATCTTGATCTAATCTCCATCTAATGGTTGAGAGTAGACACCAACGAATAGACTTCTTATTTTGAATAAACTCTAAATTAGATAAAAGAGAATCATATCAAATCTTATCTTTTCATGTGATAAGATTTAAATGGTCTTATCTCTAAAAGATAGGGAATCTTCCAAATCTTATCCTTCCACAAGTGTGATAAGATTGAAATGATTTTATCCCTAAAAGATAGAGATTCTAACTCCTAAAAATTAGGAGTTAGGGCCAGCCTCCCTTGCTTGGTTTGTGGGCCGAAATTTCCTTCCTCAAATGGGCCTTGTAACACATTAATAATCTTGGGCTTATAACTTCCAGGCTTGACATTCTCTTGGGTTAAACCCTTTGATATTAGATTATTAAGTGCACTCCTCATCCTTTTACTTCTAGCTTGAGTCACTGGGTCTCCACTGTTGGATAATGGATCTTGAGCCACTCTTTGAGCTTAGACAGTACTTGAAACCCGAACACCTTGATCATCTTGGACTTGATTACCATGGATGTTCATATCACTGAACCATATAAATGGTCTCGTTAAGAGTGCCATTTGGAAACGCATTACTAACATCCAATTGTGACAACAACCAACCAGGAGCAACAACAATAGATAAAACCGTCTACATGGTGACAAGTTTGGCTACAGGACTGAAAGTATCAGTGTAGTTCTGGCCAAAGGACTGAGTAAACCCCTTGGCAACTAGTCGCGCCTTGCAATGATCAAAGGACCCATCAGCATTGGTTTTAACCTTATACAACCATCTATTGCCAACAACATTAGTAGTTAGCATGGGAGGAACCAACGTCCGTGTGCCATTCTGATGGACAGCACAGATCTAATTAAGCATGGCCTCTTGCCACACAAGGTCGGTATTAGCTCGAGTAAAGAAAGTAGGGGCAATAGGAAGGGTAGAAGAAACAGAGGAAAGATTAGCAAAAGGATAAAAAATCTTTTTAGGTTTTGGATTAGCACGAAGGTCAACGAGTGAGGGCGAGTTGGAGGAGGGTCTGATGACCCAGACAGAGAGGCAGATAATGGTGAACCAAAGAAAGAACGAGATGTAGAAGCAGAACCAATGGAAGGAAATGTTGTAGAGGGAGTAGTTGGGGAAGACTCGGTAGGGGGAATGAGAGGATGCATAAAGTCAGTGGCAGATTGAGAGGAAACAGTAGGAGGGGACAAAGGAGGAACATCCACAGGAGAGAAAGGTGGGACTGGAGTGGATGGAGTGGTTAAAGTGAGATGGACTGGAGAAGAAGTGGGAGCAGAAGTGGGCAAGGAGGATGAAGAGGAGGTGCTCTGTGTATGTGTAGTGGCAAACGGAAACTTAACTTCATCACATTGAACATAACGAGAGATGTAAAGGCGGTTAGAAGAAGGGTCTAGACACTAATACCCAAGGTGATTAGGAGAGTAGGCCAAAAAGGTACACTCCGAGGAACAGAAAGAGAATTTATGTTTGTTGTAGGGACAAAACAAAGTTTGAAAATCCACCTGATCCGGTAGGTGAAGTCCAGGGTGGGAATTCCTAACAAAGTTACTTTGATATTGCATATAGGTTACGAAAATCATAATTTCATATACATTTACACAAATACTATACATTATGCACAATAGTGTAGGAATTATATGAGGGCTGATTCTAAAAGATTAGATGAATCTGGCAGGCTCTCAGAAGCTGGAAAGTTCAAAACAAAAGATTTTCTTCTTCATAAGTAAGAGAGGTTCATTAAAAAAAAAAAAAGAAACACATAAAGTTGCGCGGAATTCTTATGATGACACTCCTTGTCCCGCATGCTGAAATCAACTCGCACTTAAGTGAAACATTGCCCTGCCCTTTTGTGATATGTTTTTGACCCTTGTCATCAACTCATATGCAAAGTTCAAAATCTTCCCGGTAAGAAACACAAAATAGTCTTTGCTCGGTACATGACATGATATATGATCTCACCAGAATATGCAACCTTTTTCTCAGTAAAGCTAGCAGATCAACACCATACTGAAGGTTACAAACAAATACGTACGAAGAGCTAAACAAGGACACACAATTAGTATATCAAAGGCAAAGCATGATCTTTCATTGACAGTCACTACCCATCGAGCAAAAAAACTTAAGGTGAATTTATTAATATCTTTGAGGGAAAACATCAAACACTTTACATGCAAATCGAGCTGCATAATTTGGTCCATAAGTGAATGAATCTTGTCGGCATCCACGAAACAAAAACCAATTTGGTCCTATTTTGCCTATATTACTCTAACAAACACCAAGCTAGAAGTAGAGATTGAATTCGTGCACACTTATAAAATCTGAAGCAGGTACTTTATACAATTTTTATGACAGGGAACATCACTTCACAAGAGAACAAATTAGGGACAAAAAATTTGATTGTTGACCCTAATGACACACTGGGATTAAATTGAAGTTGCCACGATTATCTTCTGTAGGCCTGGAGTATGAAGACAAATAAAAGAGCATGAGAGGCTGGAGTGTTGAATTTTGGGAGTAGTAGAGCAGGAAAAGAAAAAGCATTTATATCCACCGGTATTTTATTTTATTAATTTTTTTTTTGCGGAAGGAAGACCTTAAAACAACGTTGTTTTATGATCTGGGGTTTGTTTACCTAGAATTTTCGATTTTTTTAGTCTGGTGAGAAACTGAATTTATGGTTTAACCCCCAGATAAGTTGGTGATGTTATGATACAATCGCATAATTAATTTTGATCGTCCGATCAAACCCTTTTGGCGAACGAGTTTGTCGGTAAGAATTAATTTGTTGACATTTAATTTTTCGCCACTATGACTTTTATTCAAAGTACTAGTGCTTGAGCATTTTTCGCGTGATGCGTGACACACCCTATAAATAATCTAGTGTAACTAATATATTTTTATTAAGTTGGTTTTATTAATATTATTTTAGAAATTGAAATCAAGAAAATTCATTATTGGTGATTTTTTTTTAGAGATTAAAATAAGGTCACTTTTCTCCAGAAAAAGAGGACTAAAATAAGGTAGATTACACTTTTTCAAAGAGCTACTACACTCAAATAACAAAAGACAGTCTGTTGGACATGACAACACATGGCAAGTTATACTACTGGTACTGTTGAGCGTCCTTCACAGACAAGAACAAACTCATTCTGAGCTGCAACAGCTGCAGGCACACCCAAACAATCCTCACAATGAAACCACACTCCACAATCCTCACATTGAACTACAGCCTTAGTGGGATCATTTCTTAACCGGCAAATATAGTGAACAAGTTCATCATCATCATATGTAACCTCCTCTGCATAAAAGTTGTAAAAGTATCTGCTAAAGAAATATGTTTCAGTAAGTTTCAGCAAGTCAATGAATTCTTGAATCATGTGCATTTGAACTCTGCGCAGAATGTGGTCTGTCAATATAAACCCGGTTCGGTTAGAGACCACATACTCTTCCATAGTTTGATGGGGGAGCCGACCTTCCCTCGTCTCATCAATAGGATAGTATAGAATCACATACGCTTCCAAAGGCCTACTTGACCCGAGCCCAATGATCTGAAACAATGTACTGTTGATATTGCCCCACAGGATTGTTCACATGGTAAAAGGCCCTTTCCCCAATATCATCTTCGCCAGGTCCATGATTACCAGTTGGACCTGGACCTCGACCCCCAGGAACAACCCGACCACGACCACCTCCATGGGGGCCTTCACGGGGAGCTCCACCTCCACCCCCCCGGAGAACTCCACCTCCACCCCCACGGGGAACTCCACTGCCACTGCCACGGGGCACTCCACCTCGAGGGCCTCCACGGGGAACTCCACCTCGAGGGCTACCAACAACCCCTGAATGCAGTTGCATTGCCTCCAACACTGGCACCACGTGTATCCTTAGAGACCTTGGTGCCAGAACTTTGTCCCTCTTTAGTTAGTCTCTTCCTAACCATGGTTAAAGCAGCGGTCTCAAAGATGAAAATATCTTTGTATTTTCAGTTAATCATTATTGATGATTGTATTAATTGACATTGAAATATCTTTGTACATGAATATATATAATTGAAATTTCAACTGTGCTTCCCGACTCGGTGAGAAGAAAATTGATATTGGTTTGGAAAAATAAAAGTAGACAAGAAGTTAAAAGGACTGAACATTGATATTAGTTTGGAAAAATAAAAGTAGACAATAAATTAAAAGGAGTGAATGACTATATCTCTGTGTTTCTTTAATCAAAATACAGCACTGAAAGAAAAGTTTTTTTTTTTTAAAAAAATACAATTAAGAACATTTCAATAAAAAATAAATATAGAGTTTTTATCTATAATTAAAAAAATTATATTTGAATAATTTTTTATCTTCGTAGTTATTAGTTCTAGCATCTGTCGCACATTGTGCGATAGATCTTCTTATTTGGTGTAATATTTTTATTTTTATGCACAAGTTTGGTTGCATTATGCATGTCTTATGCTGTTGAATAACTAAAAATTCAACTATTGAAAATAATATGAAATATAAACATGTCTTATACTATGGGTTGGTGGTACATCTGTAGGTAGACAACATTTTGAATTTTTGTATCATCAACACTAACAGTACATATTAGTCAACATAACATGTTTGTTACCAAAAAACTATCATAATAAAGAGTTGGTTAAACGTAATTTTGTGCGACTAGTTTTTATATGTCGTACCATATCTATTTTGTTTTTAACTACGTATTGTAAAGATTAGTTTAGTAAGAATTGTAGGTAACAATATAAAAAAAAATTAAGAATGCCAGTATTGACAATAATTCTGTCAAGTAGTATAAAGTCTGTCTTGAAAGAAACCTTAAATTTATTACAAGGAACATACTTTTCAATAAAGAAAGAACCAATCACTTACACAATAAAAAATAAAATAAAATAAAAATGGAACTATCATGCCTAAGAATATCAACTCAGTCAATAACCAACAATGGAAGTTATTTATTTGTGTTTGTTTTTATGCATGCCTAAGAATATCATCTAATTGTGTCCCCCTCCAAAAAAAAAAAAAAGGTTCTCGGGAACTTTATGTTCTTTTTGAGAGCTCTCTCTAGCATCTCTCTAGGATCTCTCTACTGCCCTCCTATGGCCGGCGATTTGCCACTGGCCATAAGCCCAACGCTACCTCCCAAAACTTCTTTTGCTCAAGTTTTAGCCTCTAAGTCTAAACAAAAAACCATATGCAACCATTCAACAAAACATCAAACCCAAAATCCATCCGTGATACGTTCAGAGCCAACTTTATTCAAAGGGGAGCCAACTTTTCTTCTTTCAAAAGAGGAGGATGAACAATTGGCAACCCCGTTCCGGCTTGCACTAGTAGGAAAATTTACAAAAGGTAGGCCAAAGATGGACTTTTTGCGGAGAGAATTCCAAATCATTGGATTCAAAGGGAATTTTTCAATTGGATCAATTGATTATCGACATATCCTAATATGTTTTGATCTTGAAGAAGACTTTCATCGTTGCTGACTGAAATGATTGTGGACCTTTGACAAGCATCGGATGCGAGTCTTGAAATGGACTACTGACTTTAACCCAACACATGAAAGTTCTATAGTTCCGGTTTGGATCTCTTATGAAGGTCTCCCCATTCATCGTTTCGACAAGGACTATTTGTGGAAAGTTGCTAGCATCATAGGGACTCCTCTTCAAATTGATGTGCCAACTCTCAACATGTCACAACCTTCGGTGGTTCGTGTATGTGTAGAGATAGATCTCCTAAAAGAACATCCCATTCGCATCAGGCTGGGAGTTGAAGGAAAGCCTTATTTTCAACCAATCTACTATGAAAATATGCTGCAATATTGTGTTGATTGTAAAAGAATAGGCCATGATCATCATTCCTGTTGACACAATATAAAAGCATCAGTATCGCAAAAGGTTGAACAGGCTCCATCAAAACAGCAATCAAAACAACAAATACTATCGAATCCTTCCACCACCAATGTTGAGAAGAATCTGTTGCTGAAGGTTGCTGAAGCAGCCGGAGATCCGACACCTTCTAGTTTTGCCCGGACGGTGACACAAGCTGTTGATGTGGAGGATGTCAATGCATCGCAGCCGTTGATAGAAGATACCGTTGCAACCATTTCAAAAACCCTAGTCACGCCCTCCAGCTCTAGCGTGCTCCCCTGCGGAATTTCCACTATTCCGGCAGCATTAATTCAGTGCTCTCGGAAAGCTATTGAGTGCTCAACCTCCGGATTGACAACAATGGAAAAGACTTCCATTCCAGTATACATACCAAACAGCTCACCACTTCCTTTAATCTCTGAACAAACACAACTTGAAGCCTCTGCAGCCGCAGAGAAATCCACGCCTGATTCTGCAGATCCTCAGCGAGACACTCCAATTCTTGCTACGGAGAATCACCAGACTTCCTCTCCGTCGGTGATTGTTGCTAGCAATGGTGGCGCATCAACATCACCGGAGGTAGAGGTGCGAGACACAATTGACTGTAGCACCTTTGTTGATATTTCTCTTGCTAATGGAAATCGCCAATCAACATCTGCCCCGCCATCCACATCGATTGACTCGCACGCAGTAACAGTTCAAGGAGAAAATCCGGCATCACCAGAAGAACATCAATGGCTGCAATCGGTGGATTCCCGACTGGGGTTGCAGATGGAGACTCTATCTCATCCTTTGTCTGCGCAATGAACTTCCGCGATCTCTGCGCCAATCATGCAGTCAGCTCTCCCTCATCCGGATTTTCAAAAATCAAGCGTGGATAAGTCACAGTCAAACTCCTTATCAGGCCAATATTCGCCTCTAAATAAGGAAGGAATCTCTTTAACAAATATATCCAGTAATAGCTCCAGTGAAAAGTTAAATCCTGAGGCTCCAGAATTTACTATCTCTCATCAGTCGCAAATTCCTCTTCTAGAGTTTTTACTGCCAATTACGGCCCTAAAAACGTACTTGTCCAAGGATGATACGAGATAGGGAAGAATACCGAGACTTTTGACTCAAGCTATTCGATTGAAGAAATAAATTTTGAAGGCGGACTAAATCGTGCTTCCAACGGTTTTGATGCTGACGATTTCGATGTGGAGTATGCGATGGAACAAGAGTCCTTTTACAGTGAAATTTAATTTCTACTCCAACGTATCACAATCATTCGAAAAAACCAAGGCTTAAAAGAAAGTTCAAGTTCGTCGGTATGCTAGATTAAATAAGGATTCAACTTTATTTGAAGATTAAATTTGTATTTGATATAGGGTTAGTATATTCGCTGCCCTATTTTTTTCTTTATTATTAGTAAAAAAAGGTTCTTGAACCCAAAAAAAAAAAAACTCACTGTGTTTCCCTGTAAGCCAAGATCAACACCCTTTCCCTGAAATTCAAGAGCTTCATTATTCGTCAAAAATATGGTAGTTGGCTATCCCATAGAGGGAAGATCTGCTTCAGACACAAAGCATGACGGCCAACCCTTTGAACAACAACAGAATCATCTGCAGAAAAGACTAGAACCTTCCCATGACAGCCCAGACCTAACTGCTGCCGAATTAGATATGAAGTTTTCTGAAGAACCTCAATCTCGCCAAATGGAACCTTTAACTCTAATACTTGTTCGTCCATGGCCAAATCTTCATCCTTCTTGGACCTCGCAAAATGCATGTAGAGTTCCAGCCTTTGCTTAAGGTTATCCTCCTGTTCAACAATACTCTTTAACTTCTTTGAATATCTTCAAACTCAAATTCGGGGGTGACATTGTTAAATTTGCTCCGTGGAAAGTCTAAACACTCCTTTTTCCATCCATCATAACGCAAGTTTACAAGTATAGGGCCAACTGTTAGTTTGTCCTCACTGTCTGATATGTTGGCATAGTATTTTTTGCACTAGAGACCTATTTCTGAAAAAGCTTCCTCATCGAGGCAATTGAGTCTTGCAGAGAGAGAGAGAGAGAGAGAGAGAGAGAGAGAGAGAGAGAGAGAGAGAGAGAGAGAGAGAGAGAATATCAAAGCATTAATAGACTAATTGTTAAGGTTTCGGTTAAATACTTATATCAAAGAACAATTACATCAGCGAAATTGTTCCAGCATGAAAAGGACAGAAAAAGAATTTGGAAAAAAAGCACCTGAACAATTCTTGAAACCAAATTATAATCTAAAAATAAATTGTTACAATGAAATCTAAAAAATCAGTAATACCTCAATGAAGCCGAGCCGAGGTTCTGAAATCAGAGTAATAGAATTGTTGAACAAAAGAATCACAATTGTTTTACTTTTTCTTGCTAAGGTTGCATCTATGTGAGACTTGTGAAAAACACCACACAACCAAAGAGAAAACGAATCAGCAATCACACCTTAACTTGACACTTTTCCATCATATTCATATTCTGCCACAATCAAAAGTTCAATAAGGCCACATATGAAGATAACAAATTGTTCCCTATAGTTTACTTGCTACGTGCCATTCTTCTTCTTAAAGCATAATTAATCACAAGTTCTGTGCAATCCAATTTCAACCAAAAGAGAAATAATGGCTACGAAAATGACAAACAACACAATCAATAATGCACCAATATATATGGTTGTAAGAAAAGCAAAGAAAAGAGCCAAGAAGCCTCCAGCTATAGCTAAAGAAACAAGCAGGATACCACAATACCATTTACTGTTACAGCAGCAAAGAAAATCATAAAAACCATTAATCCAGTCAAGGCAAAAATGAGCAATCGTTCCAAGCTGCAGGAAAACCAGTAATAGATTAGAGCTACATCTGCAAGGAGAATTTTAAGCTTAAATAGATAAAAATAAAAAAAACCCTACAAATAGAAAACAAGTGTATCGACCATATGCAGTGTGGATTATACTTTTCACGAATTTTTGGCTTTCAAAACACAAAATTCGCTCAAACATGACTACTAATATTTGAGGACAAAGCACTTAAATTTGTGTTCTAATCAAATGTAACCAGTTACAAGATCATAATTTCGACCCACAGTAAATAAGCTTTTAGGTAAATTGTTGGTATACAAAACTCATTATCTACAACTAACCAAGCTATAATTGGAACTATTCATTTATCTCACTACAGTTACAATGCATACATCAAGTCATTGTTCAAATGTTTGGATTTCTCACTCAGAATAAAGTCTTTTGCATCATAGAATATATTAATTCCTCAAATTAAGCAGCTGAAAGGCTTTCAACTATTCAATCCTTACAGTTGAGCATATTAATTTTCACAGGCACAATCACGAACAAACTTTGATCTTTGCCAATTTAAGGAGAAACTTGGAATTGACAAAAGCACTTCAAATTAGGACTATGTACATACTGATGACTATGTATGTAGATGAAATGATGGAAGCAATTAGGCAAGATCATTATTTCCTAACTAATAGATGACCAAATCTACCAATAAAGAGTATACAAGATTTCCTTCTTTATCTATTCCCTACTTTACCATACTAAACGAAATGTTTGGCCCCCATCCTCCCAGTTCCTTCTATAAACAACCAAAAACTCAAAACCCAATTTAAGTCGGAGTACCACACAAACCCAAAGCTGAAACCCAGTTGGAATAAGAGCAGCACAAAGGCCCAAGGTAGCACAATTTCTGCATGCAAAAATCCCGAACCAACAACTTCCAAAGTTAAAAATCTAGACAATAGTAAGTATTGATGTAGATAACCATTATTGTTTTACCTTTTCACAAAGAACTTCGTGAAGGAGAGAAGTGTCTTTGGAAATGATATCAATAATTTTAGAAGTAGTTGCTTCTTGTGAATCAAAGAAACCGACTTCTTGTCTAAGAACAACTTCCAAATACTTGAAATGAAGCCACTCGGTTGTTTTTCTCCAGCATTAACCTTCCGCGGTAAACACATGGATTCTAGCAATTGTCAGAATGCTGAATTAATAAGGATCTATGTAGCAACAATATCTCTTGAAGAGTTTATAGGGCTTCAAAAAGTTGAACACTTAACATTACTTGGTGATGAATCTTTTGGCATTCTTAATTACACTATACAATGCACTGTAATTTTTTTAAAATGTTATAAACTGAAAGTTTCTTGCTCTTAGCGAAGATGGCAATATATGTGTAGTGTAGTTAATCTTAAGTAAAAAAAAGAAAAAAATAGGTTATAAATCATTAGTTAAAAAGAATATTTACCAATGAATGACATAACCATGACTGCTAATCACAAACAAAGTAGGAAGAAGCCCATGATTAATTAAAATTTATAGTGTATGTACTCGCATGTCTTCTTCCAAAAGTTCACAAACATTACAGGGTTGCTGGTGTTGTTTATGTGATTTTCTATGTTTTTTTTGCTTCAAATTCTACAACGTTTTTCAGCATGTCCAATGTGGTAAAGGGATTTGACCTTCATGATACCAACAACAGTGCCACTATACTTTGGGTTTATAAACAGCAGTGAATGCCAATTGAGTCAAATCAATTTGACAACTCAACAATACCATACCTATTGAAGGGGAAGGGAGGAAGAGCAAATCGACAGCGGCCGAAGGGCGGCAACTGTGGATGATTTGAACGCCGCTTGAATGATTTTGGTAATTGAAGGGCAACAACCTCGAAGCATGACAACGGTGTCAACTCCAAACAAATCGACAACAATAGAAGACGCGCAATTGGAAGGCGAAGGGAGGAAGAGATTGGAAGGTGGAGGGAGCAATAGGTTTCTGTATATCATCGGCGACGACATCAGTGAGTGACGACAAAGGTAATTGGTTGTGATTTTTGCATGGTTTCCTTTTTATTTGGGTGTTGGTTTTAGCCAACTTGCAATAGACAAAGATATGTTGAAGTGTTTCCACATTGTTCCTGCATAAGTAACAAATAGAAGGATTAACGTAGAGTCCGAAATTTACCACGATGTCAGTTATTGGAAGTAATTTATTAATTAACTTCCACCAGAAAAAGGAAATACGAACAGGGATAAAGTAATGCCAAAAGTCTCGCTTTGGCTTTCTGATTTGAAGAACATCATAAGCTGACTTGATGGTGAAGCTTTCACTTGAAGTCGGTACGTGGTCTTCTCATTCACAAAAATCCTGATCAGAGCGTGCCAAAAACTCTAAGGTTGCTGGTGTCAAGACGTTCTGAAAAGATGTCAAGTAGTCTTGTTTGTGATCAAAGAACTCCTTGATTGAACTCCTTAAGTTTTGTTTGCCAATATATTTATAAAATCTATGCACAGTCCATGCTTTGATTATTTTTTATACACACTGTCGCCAAATAATCTCTCTCATTTACAATTTGATTGGACGTGTGGTAGTCACATGACATAAGTCTTGTATCACGATTACAACATATTTTAATTGAGGGCGAAAGTGTGATTCATAAATTAAACATTAGGTTAAAAAATAAATTTTCTCCTTTAAACCCCCTTCAAAACTACATCGTTTTTAACACCTACAATTAGGAGGAAAATAAACAAAAGAAATTAATTGGCCAACCAACTTTTATTTTAGCTTATATAATATATATATATATATATACATATTTTTTTTTTCAAAACCAGGATTTAACCTGGTAGGGATAGAACCTATTTTATTAATAATGTTAAAGTGGGATTTTTACAGAGTATGGTAGTGCATAAAACTAACCATCTATCAAATTCTGAGATATGAGAATTCCTGTTGGTCTAAGGCTAGAAGACCTTTCGAAACCGGAGGAAGATCCCTCAA